AACCCCATCTCCAGGTGTATCTCGCTGGGGTTCTTGTGTGTGTCACCCCGTGCACTCCGCTTCCCCGGTGCGCCAGCATCCCTGGGTCCCAGCCCTGGGGCTTTGTGAGTGCAGGAGGAATGTGATGTCTCACCAGGGTGTCTGGGCTGGCTTTCCTAATTTTGGCCTCCTTAAAGAATATCGGGCCAATTCTTCATTTTCACAGAGCTCTTCATGGGGCTGGGGACAGCTGGTGCTGGGTGTCACACTCTGGTTGTGACAACACAGCACCCCCTCAGCCCTGGTCTTTTATTCCTGTGGTTTTGAAGGGGGATGCAGCCCTCCTGTCCCCCGTGCTCTGCCCACCCTGGAGCCACTGCCCTGTACCAGGAGAGGTTGGTTAACCTTGCCCTGGAGCTCAGCTCAGCACTCAGGGAGGGCACCAAGCACAGAAGTCCTCCTGAGTGCCAGTGTGCTGTATTTATGTACCTGACAGCGGCATGCGTGGCATGTCCTGCAATAAACATTTGCCCTGATTAGCTGGATTAGTGAGGGAGAGCTTTATTTAGGGACCCGAGTCCCACACTGGGGTCAGAGTATTCTTGACTCCATTTCTGAAAATACCACTGTTGTGCGTTTTGTTTTCTTTACGGTAGCTCGGGGGGGAGCCTGCCTGTTCCCTCTCTTCCCAGCCAGAGTAAGTAGTGCTTGAGGTCTGGAAGTGTCTCTTCTGAGTAGGTGCATGTTCGTGTCCTGCCTCTGCCAGGTTTCCCCTGCAGCTGGAGAGCGGTCAGACAGTGGAGTGCACAGTGGCTCAGTACTTCAAGCAGAAATACAACCTGCAGCTGAAATACCCCCACCTCCCCTGTCTCCAGGTTGGCCAGGAGCAGAAGCACACGTACCTGCCCTTAGAGGTGAGTATCAGCTCGTATGTTGTGAGCACTCAGTGTTGACCTGGCAAGAGCTCCGGGCTGGTCTGGGGCTCGCTGCAGGGTCTGAGTGCTGTGCCCACAGGGCAGCTCAGCCGCGGTCCCCCATGTCTCGCCTGTCCCTAACAGAGGCTGCTGGCTCTCCCCTCCCATGCAGGTGTGTAACATCGTGGCAGGCCAGCGGTGCATCAAGAAGCTCACAGACAATCAGACGTCAACCATGATAAAAGCAACAGCCAGGTCTGCCCCAGACAGGCAGGAGGAAATCAGTCGCCTGGTACGTGGCACGAGGGACGGGAGGGATGGTGTCAGGGCTGTGGCTTTGATAGCGGGTTACAGCAGCACGTCTGTGATGATCCTTGTTGTGGTCCTGCTCCTCAGCTGCTCTGCACTGGAGTGCTGCAACCTGCTCAGGACATGCTCGTGGGATTAATGGCTTGGGTTTATTCCCCTCTTCCCATTGAATCCCTGGTCAGCGATGCCTGCATGGGTATAATGGACACTTGCATAGAGGAGCCCAGCTCAAAGTGACTGTGGAAACTCGTGTACAGCAAATTCACGCTAATGGAACCTGATCCAAAGGGAGCTGGAACTAAAAATAGGAAAACAAATTAGAGAAATGACCCCGGCTGTGGGTGAATGTGGGGACTGTGTGTTGTGGGGCTGTGGTACGGGAGCTCTGTCTGCAGGTCAGCCTGGGGCAAGGCAGGGGAATGCAAACCTGGCTCTGCTCTTGGTTGCATTGGTCAGTGTGTTCAAAAATCAGGTCCCCCATGGGTCAGTTTGGAGAACAGGGTTTGACCCTTTGTGTTAAACTGCTTGCCCTCTCCTTACAGAGAGGTCTGCAGCTCTGTAGAGAACAGGACTTGAGGCGCCAGCTGAAGCTGTGTGGGATGCAGCAGTTGGTCTCACTCCCTCTCATGGCCTTCCCTTCCCTTTGCAGATGAAGAATGCCAGCTACAACCTGGATCCATACATTCAGGAGTTTGGGATCAAGGTTAAGGATGACATGACGGAGGTGACGGGAAGGGTCCTGCCAGCGCCCATCCTGCAGTACGGAGGCAGGGTAAGCAGGGCTGCGCTGCCCAGGTGCTGAGTTGTGTTATGCAGAGAGAGGCCTTCACACCAGAAAATGTTTCTGAGCAAAACTTGTGCTACCTTCGTGTTTGTAGGTTAGAGTTGGAGGTTTTTATCACAGTGCTTTGGGTTTGGGCTTTTTTTATCAATATAACTGTTGTGAAAGTTGTAGCCGAGAGTCATTCAGTGACAAAAATGTGAGCTGAAGGGGAGAGGGATGCTCAAGGTAAGCAGCTTGGCTGAATTCTCCGTCACTGCTGAGGAGCTGAGATGGTGAATTGCCTGTGGCAGACCCTGGCAGTGCAGGGAGCTGGTGAGGGCGTGTGGCTTGGCGATGGGCAGCACAACCACAGCGCGTGCTCCCTGGGTGCTCCCGGGGGCTGCTGGCGTGGGGCAGTGCTCTGACTGTCTGTTTGCCTTGCAGAACCGGGCCATTGCAACTCCCAACCAGGGCGTGTGGGACATGCGAGGGAAGCAGTTCTACAACGGCATTGAGATCAAAGTCTGGGCCATTGCTTGCTTTGCCCCGCAGAAGCAGTGTCGAGAGGAGGTGCTGAAGTAAGGAAAGGGGCAGCCCCTGCGGGTGGGGGGAGCTGTGGCTCGTGTGGTCCCACCCTGCTGCTCCCAGCCTGGGGCTGCACATCCTTCATCACTAATACCTGATCTGTACGCAGCTGAATTAATTGCTCGTGGTACAAATTTGGTCTGGGTTCAGACTTGGGGGTTCAGTCTTGTTTCTGGTAGTTTATCCAGAGCGCCTGGCTGTTTATGCTGGCTGCAAACAGCCATCGCAGGGCCTGCCAGGTTGGGGTGAGCATATTGGCACATCTGAGCTGAGAGTCAGGCTCTCCTCAGTCTGCTCTTTGCATTAGGTAGCTGCAGTATTGTGGTCTGATACTGCCAGCCCAAAAGCTGTATTGACCTCTTCTAAGCTGGATCTCCTCAGAGAGATGGGCTTGTGAGGGATGTTGAATTAAGTTTCCCCAATACTCTGTCTGAAATAACGTAGTTCATGTAGGAAACATCCTAAGTTGCCACAGGTTTTTATTACAGAGAAGGGTTAGGCTTTCTGAAAAGCTTTGGTAGCTTAGACATTCTCTGCTTTGTTGGCAAAGTGACACCGAGTGGGGACAATTTATTTGATTTAGGGAAATAGTCACTTTGGTTTTGGATTCTGCTGGGAACTTGGGTTTCTCCTGGCCCAGAATGGATGCACTGAGGTGAGCATTTTGTGTTTGACATGGTTAATGTAGGGATGGTTCAGAGCAGCTTAAAGTCTCTATGGCTGTAGTGACTGGGTGCAGGTGGGAGAGACACCACACTCCTCCTCTGACCCTTTTGGGGCAGAGCTGGGAGCCCTGTTCTCCCTCGGGCTCTCACTGCATCAGTCTTATCCTTGGCAATCCAAAAATCCAAAGCGTGAGCTGTCGCAGGCAGCAGGTTTGCTCCCCCTTCTCCAGCTGTCCGACAGAGGACGGCTGATGGCCCCACCGCTTCAGGAAGAGTCAGTGTTGGGGTAGGAGGGCACCAAGAGGGGACAGGTCAGCTCTAACGTGCTGAACTTGCGCTTCCTGCACCACGCACCTGCTGGATGCTGCAGAGCTGGAGGCGATGGCAGGTCCTGACCCGCTCCAGCCGCGGCTCTCCTCTCGCTCGGTGCCGTGCGGGAGGGCTCCGGGCTCACTGCTTCTCCTCCCGGGCACAGGAACTTCACAGACCAGCTGCGCAAGATCTCCAAGGACGCGGGGATGCCCATCCAAGGCCAGCCCTGCTTCTGCAAATACGCCCAGGGTGCAGACAGTGTGGAGCCCATGTTTCGACACCTCAAGAACACCTATTCAGGGCTTCAGCTCATCATCGTCATCCTGCCAGGGAAAACACCAGTGTATGGTGCGTGTGGGGCTGGGGTGAGCGGGGAGAGGAGAGGGCTCTCCCCTCTCTGCTCCTCCTGCGGTGGTTTCTCTCCCTGTTTCCAAGGACGCTGCTGGAAGCAGCACGTTGCTGATTGCTTTGTGCTCATCTGCTTCCTCTGCCCGCAGCCGAGGTGAAGCGTGTTGGGGACACCCTCCTGGGAATGGCCACGCAGTGTGTCCAGGTCAAGAACGTGGTGAAAACCTCCCCACAGACCCTTTCCAACCTCTGCCTCAAGATCAACGTCAAGCTTGGCGGGATCAACAACATCCTTGTGCCTCACCAGCGGTTCGTACGGCTGCTGCCTCTCATGTTTCTGGGGCTTGATTCCCAAGTCCCTGGCGGTGCTGCCTGCCTGGATTTACCTGGGGAAGAGGGAGCCTGTGGGTGACTGTGCAGAGCAGCTCTTCGAAATTGAGGTTTTCAGCCTGTCTCGCCTTGTAATAAGCCGCTGATGTGCTCAGGCCAGAGCCTGGAAGTCGGGAGATGCCATCTATGTGATTTGTTCATGTCCATTGGGCTGTGCCTCACCCTGCCCTGGCCCCAGATGGCTGACTGCTGCTTTCTCTTCTCTCCCACCAGCTCTGCTGTCTTTCAGCAGCCGGTGATCTTCCTTGGGGCCGATGTCACTCACCCACCGGCAGGAGATGGGAAGAAACCCTCCATAACGGCTGTAAGTTCCTTGTCCAGAGCCAGGCTTGGTGCCCAAGAGCCCTGCAGGGATGCAGGACCTGGAATGGGACTCATGTGTCCCGTGAAGTCCCTGTGGTGACACCTCTCAAGGTGGTCCCACGCTCTTTTGAGTGTTCTGATCCCACTCTTGGGGCCGTGGGTCCCTGATCCTCTCCTGCCTCTCTGCAGAGGAGCTGCAGTTTTGGGGAGCCACTGGGAGAGCTGGCAGCTGCCAGCAGATGGGGCTGGTGATGTGCTGGACCCCATGAGTGCTGTCAGACAGAGACAGGGTGTGAGGGGAGCTTGGTGCTGCCAAGGTGCTCACTGGAATCATCCCTGGGCATCCCCATCCTTCAGTGCAGCCCTGGAGGAACCTTCCCCAGCTGGGAGAACTGGGACTCTGGAGATGGGGGACAACTGGCGTGACTGTGTTTCTTATGAGCCTTTTGAGGAGAAGGATTTGCCTTCACCTCAAATGAATAATGAGCATCCCTCCATGAAGTGCCACTTGCATGCTGGTGGGGCTGGGTGGCAGCTCATGCCCTTTGCCAGGCTGTAGGACGTTGTTACAGTGAGGGAGAGTGTCATGTTTAATTAAGCACGTCAGCATTTTCCTACTAAGTTCTTAACTTTCCAGGACTCCCAGCTCAGGTTTTCCTTGGCATGCAAACACGTCTTTGGAGGAGTGTTTTTTTTCTCAATTAGAAGGGGTTGGGAAATGCTTTTGGCTGTTTGCTGTAGGGGTGGGTGGGATAGAACAGTCTGTTTCCTGCTCCACTGAAAACATCTTCTGTGTTTTGCTGTGCAGGACCACGGTGGGGACTTTTTTATCTTAATTTTGATGAGAGCTTTTTTGAAGCTGCAGGGGAGGAGGAGGGTAGAGCCTTGGATGGCCTTGATCTTGTCCTTGGTGTGCTGTTAACTGTACAATAGAAGGGGGTCTGTGGCTGAAGCCAAAGGAAACATTTCTGTTGTGCACATCAGCTCTGGTGGTGCAGCCCAGACCCTAGAGCTCCATTTGGGAATGGCTCCATTTGGGAATGGCTTTAAGCTGCCAGAAGGGAGATTGAGATGAGCTCTGAGGCAGAAGCTCTTCCCTGTGAGGGTGCTGAGGCACTGGCACAGGGTGCCCAGAGAAGCTGTGGCTGCCCCATCCCTGGCAGTGTTCAAGGCCAGGTTGGACACAGGGGCTTGGAGCAACCTGCTCTAGCGGAAGGTGTCCCTGCCCTGCCCTGTCCTGCAGAGGCAGAGCAGCAACAGTCCCCACAGCCACTCAGTGGCACCAGGCAAGTTGTCTCCCTGGAAATTCCCATTAACACTGCCAAGGGCACGGCAGAGTGAAACCGGGATGTGGCCATGACCACACATGTCCCTTTGGGGCGCTAGTTGCCTGTACAGTATTTGCTGTCCCATCTCTTGTGAGCTCGGGTGCTCTGCCCACTGCCAGCTGGGGGTGTTGGAAGCGTGCAGGGGCTGGGAATGTCCGTCCTTCCCGTTGTAACCTGTGGCCCTGGCCTGTCTCTGTCACTGCAGGTTGTGGGCAGCATGGATGCCCACCCCAGCCGGTACTGTGCCACGGTGCGCGTGCAGCGTCCTCGCCAGGAGATCATCGAGGACTTGTCCTACATGGTGAGGGAGCTCCTCATCCAGTTCTACAAATCCACCCGCTTCAAACCCACCAGGATCATCTTCTACCGCGACGGCGTTCCCGAGGGGCAGCTCCCGCAGGTGAGGACCCCTCAGATCCTTGGCGGTTCCCTTAGGGATGGCTGGGTGCCAGCGTGTTCCCTCACTCCACGTACCCACTGCCTCTCCAGATCCTTCACTATGAGCTCCTAGCGATCCGAGATGCCTGCATCAAACTGGAAAAGGATTACCAGCCTGGCATCACCTACATCGTTGTCCAGAAAAGGCATCACACCCGTCTCTTCTGTGCAGACAAGAATGAGAGGGTGAGTGCCGCGGGGTGCCGGGGTTGGAGGAGGCTGATTCATCCCCACCCCTTTGGAAGAGCCAGCCCTGACTTTGCTGAGGGCAAAGCTCACCACTGGCAGCAGAGAGCTCCTAATTGAATGAAACGTGCTGCTCGGTTGAGTCCCGCATCCATGAGGATTAGGCTGCTTCTAGAAACCCAGACAGCTGTTTGCTGTTAACGACGAGTTACTGGGTGCTGATGATCCTGGTGGCCCTCTGGAAATAGCCTCTGTCAGCTTGAAAACATCTGTTGTTTTGGTGATAGCTGTAGCCGCTGACGTGACAGGATGAATAACCCCTTGCTTGCTCACAGCTTGTTCGTTTGTGCTGTGCAGTAACATCAGTTGCTGTAGCTTTTCCTAGATTTGATCTAAATTTAGTGGTTAGATCTAGTCTAACCAGACTCTGGCTCTACCTGAGCATGAAGATTTAATCTTGGGAACTGAGGACAGGTTTTGATCCGGGTGCAAAAGCCCCAGTATCTTATGGCAGAGACTCGAGCATACTCTCTGTACGGATCCCTGCGATTTTGCTCACTTAATCCTCATTTCTGCAGTAGGATGGGCCAGTGCCCAGCTCTTGCCTGCCTGTTTTCTTTCTGACGCTGTTTGCTCTGTCTTCAAGTGATGCCTGCTGTTAATGCTTGCAGGAAATGCCAGCAGGCCTGTTGGGACAGGGAGCAGAGCAGGATGAGCTGCTGCTGTCCCCCTGTAACGGGCACTCGGGGAGCAGCTCTGCACAGTGCTCTCAAATTGAGATGCTGAGACGGGGACCCTGCACCGTGGCCCTGCTGCAGGGCGAGTGCGTTACGGACGGTGCTCTAGGCAGCTGGAAATAACCAAACTCTGCAGTGCTTGGATATCTCTCTCTATTTCCTGTAGATTGGGAAGAGTGGGAACATCCCAGCAGGAACAACAGTGGATACAAATATCACCCACCCCTTTGAGTTCGACTTCTACCTGTGCAGTCACGCAGGCATTCAGGTACTGCGCTGCAGAGCTGGCTATTGTGGTGCTGCTGGTTTTCTTTGGCTGTTGTTGCAGACTGTGCTCTCATGCATCTGACCCAGCTCTGTCAGAGCTTCCCTGCAGCTCCAGAGCCATGGGCAGCTCCATCCAAGCTGCCCTTGCGGTGGTTTTGGCGAGCCGGTGCCGGGACCGCACTGCTGCTGCATTATGTGGCACGTATTTGATTTCTCTCCTGGAGCCAAGGATCTCTCTAATGAGATTTTCCTCCTTCAGAGTGGCCAATTCAGCAGCTTGTCCGCTGGGGTCTGAGCGTGCCGGGCTCAC